GAACAATTATGATCTAAAGTGTATCAAAATTTACAAAAAAAAAAAAAAAAAAAAAAAAAAAAAAAGCAAAATATTTATTTGTTTACTTTAGTAATCATTTCTTTCAATGTAAGTTGTTTAAGTTGCTTCGTTTTTTATGTGATAATACATTCTCTTTAATTCTATAAACAGACATAATTTTTTGTTCAGTTACAAAGTTCCGCTGTTCAAGTCCTATAATTGCTGTGTTGAGAATACCGACTAATTTGTCAATCGAAATTTTTTCATTTTCAATAACCTCTGTCACTTTCTTCGCTATCGGAAGCGAATTATAATGACGAGGCATTTGATTTAAATCATATCAAAGACAGAGTACATCAAAGTGAAATACTACAGTTAGTAAGCAATTATAAGCCAAATAAAGTAAAAACATCTGCCCTGAAGATAAGGATAGTGCTGGCAGATCAACTTCCAATTCATTGCGCGCACCACGGCGTTAAAGATAAACAAAGTTTAGATAAACAAATGGTAAAGTTTAGATAAACAAAGGATATGCCTTTATTCATTTTTTGCAGCAATTCCACTTTTTGTTTAATGGACTCCGAAACATTCTTTCGCTTTGTAGATCCGTCGCATATTAGTAAATATAAATTGGAAATTCTATTTGACATAATCGAAAGTTCAAGCTTACTTTTATAAAATTGCTCTAACAGTCTGCAAAAAATAATAAGCCCAATCCTATTCGAAGATTAAGGAACAGCGCAATCTGCAACATTAACTGAAATAGATAATTAGATAATTTTAGCTTAGCTTATTCCGTCCGTTATACATTAAACGCTCATTCGTAAACGTAATTTGCGCACACGCAAATTCGCAGCCGTAAAGGTCTGCACCAATGCGACGCATGCGCAGAAAGTTTGTAGCTTTGAGGTCCGGATTATAGATCATTCTGGATTATGGGTGTCTGAAGTAACGACTTTTGACTGTATATTAGATTTATACATAACATTTTTCTACTATAGGTATTTTGAGAGAAAATCGGATGTTTTCTGAAATGACATGCCAATTTTTTTTCATATTTCAATTCTGCGAATCAAATTATGCCTAAATATTAAATTTTGTAAAATTTGGTGCAAAATTTATGAAGAAATTCAAAAATTTATATTGCAGCTTTTTTTCAGTTTGCGCCAAGAATAATATACTTGGTGAACTTCTTAATTTATAGCAACCTATTTTCTTTTTTTCATTGTAAACAAGTGGGAAAAAGTCATCGGTCATTATTTCAAATAATTTTTACAATGTGCGTAAACCACATTTGGCATTATTATCGCTTATAACAAATATGCCAATTTTCAAAATACGCCAGTATGTAAATTCACGTATATTCTAGGAAATTTTGAGTAAAAGGCTATTTTTTTCGGGTATGCTTAGAAATACACCTTCTTTAAGATGATGGTAAAAATTTTATAATTCATAATATAATTTTTTTTTTGAAAAATTTATAAAAATTATTTAAAAATACAAATTTTAAAAATAAATCATAAGAACTGGGCTAATTTGGAATGAACCTAAATTTCAAATTCTGTGGGAAGGAATCAAGTAAGTTTAATAAAAAGCGAGATATTAATAAATACAAGGTCTGGCTACTAATTTCCAGGATTGATGTAACTGTAGGAGAACGAAAAGTCGGAAGATGGCGCTAATCATTGCATATTGAAGAGTGTTTTCTTGCACATGTGCACTGCAAGTGGCACCATTCTGAATTAAGGGGTTCTCGTGGAAACTCACATTAAAACGTAGCTCTTAAATTCCTATTGTCGAAGTGAAAATGGAGCAAAGAATTAACATTAAATTTTGCTTCAAATTGGGCAAGACAGCTGCGGAAACCTACGAAATGTTAAAACAAGTTTACAGTTTAATTGCAAATATGTAATCTATATTCTTTTTATAATTATTTGTACCATTAACAATGAATCTATTGGTTGGTGATTTATGAAATTTTGAGAGAGCATATATATTTGCTAATCTATTGTAGTTAGATGGTTGTGAGATTTGCAGTTTCTTATGAAATGCTTTTAGCTTTTTTGCAATAACATTTTCTTGTATATTGGTGAGTTTGTAAGTAATGGCATTATTTAGTTCAGTATTAATTAATGAGACATAAAAAAATTTTCATATTATGCTAAAATTATTATTGGCTTTGTCAATTTTTGGTGATTATGAACTTTTGTTTCAAATCTTGCAATAAAGGAATGAGAATATTCCACTGTTAATCGCCATTAAATTCAATTCTTCAAATTCTTTGCTTGAATTCTTCTAATACTTCATGTTTCCAAGCCATAAAGGTAGAATGTGGAATATTTAATTTGAAACTAGTTTCAACTATAAATTCGTCTATATTTTTTACGAAACTTTTAAAACTGTGATGTTTGTTAATTTTTAGTACTGATCTAAATTTGGCACAGTCAAAAGTCATTAATCCGGACTCTTCGGGACTTTGGCGATTCCGGATTATAGATCATCAGTTTAAATCTGGTAAGATGGCATGCAGAAATTATAAAATTAAAAATATGAAACCGTAATTTATGAAATAAAGAACAATTATGATCTAAAGGGTATCAAAATGTACAAAAAAAAAAAAAAAAAAAAAAAAAAAAAAAAAAAAAAAAAAAAAAAAGCTTAATATTTATTTGTTTACTTTATTAAACATTTCTTTCAATGTAAGTTGTTTAAGTTGCTTCGTTTTATGTGATAATACTTCGTTTTATGTGATAATTCTATAAACAGACATAATTTCTTGTTCAGTTACAAAGTTCCGCTGTTCAAGTCCTATAATTGCTGTGTCGAGAATACCGACTAATTTGTCAATCGAAATTTTTTCGTTTTCAATAACCTCTGTGTCACTTTCTTCACTATCGGAAGCGAATTATAATGACGAGGAATTTGATTTAAATCATATCAAAGACGGAGTACATCGAGATGAAATACTACATTTAGTAAGGAATTATAAGCCAAATAAAATAAAAACATCTGCCCTGAAGATAAGGATAGTGCTGACAGATCAACTTGCAATTCATTGCGTGCCGCAGAGGTCCCCCCCCCCAGAGCAGCATGAAATTGCTAAACAGATTTCGGAATGGTTAGAGAAATGAAGGATATGCCTTTATCCATTTTTTGCAGATATTCCACTTTTTGTTTAATGAACTTCGAAACATACTTTCACGTTGTAGATCCTTTACATATTAGTAAATATATATCGGAAATTCTGTTTGACATAAACGAAAGTTCAAGCTTACTTTTATAAAATTGCTCTAACAGTCTGCAAAAAAAATAATAAGCCGGATCCAATTCGAAGATTAAGGAACAACGCAGTCTGCAACAGTAACTGAATTAGATCATTTTAGCTTAGCTTATACCATCCGTTATACATTAAACGCGCATGCGTAAACGTATTATGCGCACACGCATATACACAGCCGTAAAAGTCTTACATATATATAAGGCTGCGTTGACGGCTGCGTATATATACGCATATATGCAGCCGTCAACGCGACGCATGCAGAGAAAATTTCTAGATTTGAGGTCCGGATTATAGATCATTCCGTATTATGGGTGTCCGAATTAACGACTTTTGACTGTACCTTTTTCCATTAAATTTCTTAAATGTTGGTTTTGAACTATTGCTAAATTGCCTCTAGTGATATGTTGAAATTTATCTATGTAATCTTTGTATTGAAGCTCTTTGCAGTATCAATGGGCAGTAGAAGCTAGATTCATGGTGGTTAATTGGCAATTTACTAAGAGGTTTTGATACTTGAAAGCTGGTTGAGATTTGTTACTTTAGTAGTTGGAAGATTGTTGTTGACATATTCTGAAAATTTTGCTGAACTGAATATTGATCATAATTCGGATGTAGGAAGTTGATTTTGCAGTAATATTTATTGTGCTTGTTAGTGGTAGAGAATTTAAAATTGCAAAAATCTATAAGCAAGGTCTTTGATTATATTGTGTCCGGTAAATGCTTGTTTACAAAATTTATAAGTAAGTGTAAGAAATTTGCTTACAAATATGCAACCAAGTATTATATTTTAGTGAAATTTTCAGTAAGAATGTAATTTTATAATATTATCGTTACTTTTTGTATCTATTGTTGAAAAGTTTATTTATTTATTTATTTACTTATTTATTTATTTTTTATTTTTTATTTATTTATTTATTATTTATTATTATTTTATTTTATTTATTTTTTGTTTTTGTTTATCCTTCCTTCTCTGGTTCCTCGTAATGTTTTTTTACTGAATAATTTAAAATAGCTGTAAGTAGGAATTTTAGAACTTAATGTAATGTGTTGGTTGAATGTATTGAGTCCATAAGGGTAAAGTGTTTTGAATTTAAGCTTGTAGAGTGACTCTTGAAATCATCTAACTTTGTATTCAGGCACAATGTCCAAAATTTGAATATTATTTTTTTTGAAATCATGTATTTGAAAATTTCTAATTCAGCTGTACTAAGTGTGTTAAAATTAGTAGTTGCGAATTTTTTAATGTGTGCTCTGTGGTTGTTAATTCTAATATTAAGACTATTTTTGGTTTGTCCAACATATTTAAGATTCCATGTGTTACAAGTGATAAGATAAATGCAATTATATGTTTTTCAAAAGGGGAGGTCTTTAGTGGCTGTGATATTAAAGAGGCTGTGATAAAAGGCATATATAAATCTAATACATATCCAAAGTCATGCTTTTGAGACATGAAAAGCGTAAATTAAATTTTTTACAATTGGCCCAGTAGAACGAGAGATATAGAACTGTCCCCCCCTTTTTTTTAACCGCAGTCAGTGTACATTGTTAACACACATAACGAATAGCATCCCATCATATTGTTATTCATATACTTATGTGCTTATGGTATAGTTGATTTGTAATTTATACATCTTTCATTTTTTCTTGACTCATGTTTCTATTATTTTGTCTACCATTTGTGTTATTATTCTTATATTTTAACTTTTTGTTTAAATTATAGATCCTGCTGAACCATACATAATTTTTTCAAATCGTCATGAACTTCGCAGTGTAGATCTGAAAACGATGAATGTTAAAGCTTTGATATCTGGATTACAGAATACTGTTGCTGTTGACTTCTATCACTCTACTAAAGGAGACTTGATATTTTGGACAGATGTTGTAGAGGATAAAATTTATAGAGGCTATGTCATTTCGGGCTGTATGTTTATCATTTTTTTTTATATTCTTTTTATTTGAAGTCTCCCATTTTTTTCCTCTTTTTCTTAAAATCTTAATAATGTCAAACTATTGAATTTTTCTGTATAACAAAATAAAATGTTTTGTATAAAATTATGTTATCTATAATTATAATTTAATTAAAAAAGAAGAATAAGCCTGGGTATTTTTATGTTGTAAAATATGCTGTATTAATAAGAAGTTGTTTAATTGTTTAGCATTTATTATATGTATTGGTAATGTTTATCATATAATTTTATACAGAATGTCAAATTTTGTAATACAGTACACTAATTTATAATGTTATCTTTATATTAGTTAAAGATGGTGGAACAATCATTGACTTCTCTTACCCAGTGCTTCTTTCGTTCAGTATTTGAACCTCTAGATGTTGTGCATTTGCTTTTTTGTAAATCTGGGGTTTTTTTTAAACATTTTAATGATATATAATGGATATTGATAATATGACATAGTTATTGCATAATTCCTAGAGTTTCTGGATCAAATATATTGAATACTACAAAACTAAAGCAGGAAACTAAAACAAAAAATCTAAATCAATGATTCTTAACCTTTTATTCGCATTGACCCCTTTAAAAAGATTGGTTTTCTTCATCGCCTCCTTATATTTTACTCTATAATATACAGCATATAAGATAACAACTAAACAAACAAATTAAATATGAGTTTTTTAGTTTAAAGAAGTTTAAAGAAGAAATGGTTTATTGGATTTATATTTTATTATTTTTTTGTTTTATTATTATTTTTAATTTGGAGACAAAATCACAGGTTCTATTTGCCCAAAAGTTTAATTTTAATTAATGTGATTCCTGTACTTGAATTACTGATGCAGTGACTTTCTTATTTGTCATAAATCTAACTTAAATCTCTTCATTAAAAAGTAATTAAGCTGTTTCTAGTTTTCAATTGTAAATTATTCGCCGGACTAATGCATGTTTCTGCTAGGTGAAAAGAACAAAAAATCATTAATGTTGTTCAGTAACAAGTTTTATTTTGGGATATTTTTCTTGGAAGATTTTTAATTGCTTAAACTTAGCATACCCGCATATTTTGAATTAGGCTTATGCTTGAACATTCTCCTTCAATACAGTTAGCTCTTCCTACATCATAATTTCAAGATCAGATGTATCAAATGAAGCCATATTAGCATGTTCATATTTTCACTGTATTGGAAGTGAACTTTAAAATTTTATTTCTATTTATACAAATGCCAGACATTTGGCCACTAAGCCATTAGCCTTGATCCTGCTTCCCAATACTTAAGAAAAAAGAATTAAAAGACAATAGTGCAGTGCATTCATCTCCATGGACTATCCAGAGTTATAAAGAGTAGAGACAGAAGAGTCTTTAAGGCAAATTTTAAAAAGATGGCCATTCAGACAAATTGTGCCCAGTTGAAAGGCAAAATAAAGCAATGGCTACAGGACAAGGAAAATCTGCAATAACTGGCTTTGAACTACTCAGACACTCCCAGGCCTTTCCCAAAGCCTCATTTGATAGGTAGGAGACAAACCTTCTCTTAAATTCTGATTTAATTAAGGGGTTTGCCAAAAGTCATATGGTTATTAGTGGTTTGTAGAATAGTCATTCCTTTCTTTGCCAGGAAATTGGCTGTTTCATTTCCCTTGCTGCCACAATGAGCAGATCCATTGGAAGACAGTTGAGTTAGTCAGAGTGTTGAGAATCTTCCTACATTCGTAAATTTTTCCGGAAGTGCAAAATTTATTGTTGAAGATAGTCAACAAAGCAGCTTTGCTATCAGACAAAATAACAGCCTGAGGAAAATTACTTTTCTGAGCACTTATTTGATTCAGAGCAATCAATATAGCCTCAACTTCTCCATCAAAATTGGTAGTATCTCTTCCCACAGCCTTATTAGAAGGCAAAGTGGTTGCAATAGATTCCTGCATGAGCTCCAGTACCTCGCTCAATCATGGATCTATCAGTGTAAACATGGGTCCAGAGGTTACTGGGATATCTTCTCTCAGTAGTTTCATAAGCAGTGGCTCTGATCTGGGCAGTGAGCATCTCACTCTGATCAACTGTCTCGTCAAGATCAAGATATACCCAGAAATGACCATAATCAAGAAGACACAAAGGTACAGTCATTACATTCATTTCTTGAACAAGGCCACTATGCTTGTCTTCTCTTAATTGGTAACCAATTTGATTGAAACTCACTTCTGTCTTTAAATTTTTATCATTGTTAAAACTGTAATTCTCTCTATATTTATTATTTGGGAACATGCAAAGTTTTTAAAACAAAATTGCAGCATTTTTATGAATGTCATGCATGCCATATAAAATATTGGTTAAACATTTCCATAGGCACTATGGGGGTGGATTTAACTGCATTTGTTATTAGGGGAAGAGATTGGTTTTGTAATCTTGCCAAAACTTCAGCTGTACTTTGCAGTGCAAATTTTATCACAGTGTTAAAAATGATATCATGGTATTAAATATAAATCGTAATATTGTAAAATTTTGCAAATAGTTAGAGCCAGTATACCTTTATGTGAAGCAGATTGTTATCACTTTCATCACACAGCTGTGAAAAAGATGGTCATTGAAAGCATTAGCTTAGATAATTCTTGTATTTATTGCTTTGAGACATTAGCTTTAAAATACTATGAAATTTTTCCTGAATATTTTTCACAACTAAATATTGCTTATGCAAAAGAAAATAAAAAATTGAACAATCCAAATATTATTCATTTAATTTTTGCAATACGCTTCGGAATTTTCAAATACCGCTCATGCACCATGTGAAGAAGTTACAGCAATGTTAGAAAGGAAAATTTTGGCCACCATGAATGAAAGAAATGGCGAACATCTTGTTGTGTTTCATTAGTTTTGTGTTCTTCATATTTTTTGGGTTTTTTTTTTTTTTGCTTGTGTCCTGCATTACTTTTTAATATTGCACTAATTGCATAAAAAATTACTGGATTAAAAATATATTATTGATTTAAAAAATGTAATGAATAATTTTTTGTGTTTTTCTCCATATATTTAATCTAACCTACTACATAATGTAACTTTATATCAATAAATAATTTATTATGAGGATTATGAGTTTTTATAATTTTTTTTTTTTTGTAATGAATGAGATTCTGGTTATATTGATCAATTATTGGTGCATATTCGGATATTGCTTTTGATCACCACTAACTTCCTTTAAAAGTTCCATCAACCCTGTTAAAGTTTTAAAAGGCAATGAACCACTATGAAAGGGTTTACCTTAGGAAAATGTCTGTTAATAGTATTCAGCATTGTTATTCAGTTATGCTCTACTAGTCAGTTTGAGAAATGTTTGTTCTCTTTGTGGAATATATTGCTATATAAAATTTATTATAGCAACAGACTCACATGTTATGGCTACATGTATACATTATGTTTCTTAGTATGTTTTGACATAATGAATTTGAATTATGGACAGTACCAGTGTTTAAGCTAAAGCCCAGACTTAAAATTTTTAAGTTTTTTTTTCTTTAGGTATTATAGTTTTTATCATTTTACTTTCATGTATATAAAAAAATGAAATTTTACAAGTCTTTAGTATTAAGTTTTCCTTTCAGATGGTATGTTTTAAAATATTAGCTTAACTTTTTAAGATCATCCTTTGTATGCTTTTCATTTTATTTATGCTTTATGACTAGAGATAATTTTTTATTAATCTACATCTGAGAAGCTACATTTGAATTTCTTTTTAAAACTTTAACTCTTGTAACTGTCTTGCCTCTTAATTGTGTTCCTAAGCTAAGTTTTTGTTCAAAGTAGCCACATTTAAGAGAATGTTAATAAATTATTTAAGAACTTATTTTCAAATGCAGAGGAATGGCATACACTCTATAACATAAAAAGTGAGACTAAGAAGGAGTTATCTAAATGGGGTGAAAATTGGTAGATGTGATGTACATGTATTAAAAACAAAACATCAATAGTATCGTAGGAATTGAATGTTTTGTTCAGGGAACATAATAAAAGAGTGGGAGACAATAATTGCATAGGCTGATCATTGGGACCATCATCAACATTGGGATTTAAGATGTTATGCAGCTCGGCACATTTTTGTAGCATTGGTGGATGTCTTCTTGGAAAATTGCTTTCCGTATGCATTTCAGTTGGTGAGTTAAATTGGTGTGATCTAGGGATGGCTGGAGTTGCTTGCTCATCAGAGCTTAAACCAGTGTTATTGGGAAGAGATCTGCTGGGAAGGTGTTAGAAAAGCCCAAAGACAAGTAGTAAAAAGGTGTACCCTATGTAGCCGAATATTATCCTCTTGAAATGTAACAGGAGTCCATGAGAGGAAAGAGAACACTACGGGTTATAGAATCTTGTGAATATACTGCGTTGCTCTAATGATGTCAAAAACGACAACCAAATGGGTCCAACTATCATATGAAATGGCCTCCTGTACCATAACTCCTGGTTGTTGGGCCGTGTGGTGGGCAACATTAGGTGAGAATCTCACTGCTGTCCTGGACATCTTCAGAAAAGTCTTTGCTGGTCATTGGGATTCAGTTCAAAGTTGGACTTATTGTTAAAAGCAATTTTATGCAAGTCTGTGAGATGTTAAGTCAAATGCACCTGGCACTGCAAACATTCCTGACAGTGTGCAGTGGTGAGAGGCAATCAGTGCATGGCCTTCATAATCTAAGCCCCCATTTTCTGAGTTGCCTATCAGAGATCATTACTGGCATTGGTATCCTGGTTACAAGTCAGTTAATTTATAAAGATGCATCAGAGGCTTTGAGTGCTGATCGAATTATCATTCTGTCCTCAATCCACTGCTATCTTCTTGATGCTGTATGCAGTCATGGTTCATCCATTCCTACCAATTGTGTTGAATTGTATCATCACAGCAATCGAAATGTCTTGCAAACTGACCTGCTTTTTTTAGTCCAATTCCATGTCCTCTCTCAAATATTGACATTAGCTCATACAGTTCATGAATTCTTCTCTATGTGAAAAACTGTTACAGTCCACATGGGTCAATGGAACTTACATTCATGTGGAAGGTTTGCCTTAGCACTGGAATGCCTTCTGTTTTATACACCATTGGTATGCTCCATTGCAATGAGCTGGAGCTTCAGCTAGTCAGCCACTAGCCACCAAAAGTTAATCATTTGCATAGTCTGCTCAAAAGTCAATCATTTGCATAAAGTACGGGCATATGCAGTTTCATCTTATTCATATAGCTCTCTTTCAGTGTATTGCTTATTATGTTAGAGTATATGCTTACTTGAGAAATTTTTCAAAACATTTAACTTCTCTCTCTTTTTTCCTCATGTAGTTTTTTTTAATTTCAGCATTAACGAATATTGAAGTTGTGGTACAGACTGGTCTTGCTACAGCAGAAGGTCTAGCTGTAGATTGGATTGGAGAAAATTTGTATTGGGTTGAAAGTAATTTAGATCAGATTGAAGTAGCTAAACTAAGTGGCCTTCACAGGAGAACATTAATTGCAAGCAATATGGAAAATCCTAGGGCGATTGCTTTAGATCCGCGCTATGGGTAAAAATGTGATTTTATTTTAACTTTTCATTCAATAATTGATTTGTTATTAATCTTATAAATTATATACTTCCCCATTTTAAAAAATCAAATACCTTATATTTTAAAGTGACTATAATTAGTTTGGATACTTCCTTATATTTTGTGAAAACAGTTCTGAAAGTAAAATAATGAAAAAATTTGTGCACAAGTGTTCTTATTTTTTTACCGTGATTTACTGCAATAAAAGATGACTGTATTTTTATTCAGTTATTTAAGCAAAGGATGTTAATTTGAAGATAGTGGCAGTTACACTTATTATTATATTATTATCTACTATTATTTATTTAAAAAATTAAATGCTTGTAATATTTATAACATAAAAATAATTGAAAAAATATATTAATAAGCTTTGTTTTGCATGTGTAAACTGCCACACTTAAATAATAAAAAAAATGTTTTTGAAAAATAAGCTTTTATTTAAAACTCATAACATAATTAATGTACTGAAATGATAAAAATAATTTATCGTAACAAATAACTTTAAATACTAATCAATTCTTAAATTATGTTTCTTCTGAGATTGTAAAGCAAAGAATTATACAGAATTGATAGGAATCCTGTGACATAATGACATCATAACCTTGAAACTAATATGTTTGCAAGTGATGCGGTGGCTGGAGGAACTGATTCCCTTCCCTTTTTTTGAGATTGTGGCATCTTTTTTAAATGAATATAGAAAATTGCTTAATTAACATATATTTTAAAAAAAAATAATTCTTGATTTAAGGAGGATAAAGTGTTTGTTTTATAATATGTAAAAACTTCAAAACTTTATATTTACTATATTATTGAATGTTGAAAATTTAAAATCATGAGTGTTGATTAGTCAAAAAAAGTCAAGTGATTTTTTAAATTTCACTAAAAGTACAGAAATTAAGTTACATTTAAAATATTTTTTTAATATCCTATTTAATGGTGCAAACTGTTAATTTCTAATATTTTTAGTTTGTTTATTTAACAAAAATATGTGCAAAAATCATTTAACCATTAAATTTCTTAAAAAATTAAATTTTTGTTAAAAATTATTTAATTTATTAAAATTTATTTAAAATTAACTAACAAATTTCTTAAAAATTCTAAATTGAATTTTGAAAATATCATTTCACCACATTGCATTGACAAACTGCGTGTATACAGAATTTGAACTTGATATTTTGTCAAGAAGTAGGTTAAAAGCTAATGACCAAATTCCATACGTAGTGAGATGCCATTAGTGAACTAAATAAATGCTTTTTAATTTTTTTTTTAAACTGCCTCAAGTTTTCCTCTCAGCCTATTTTTTAAAGGTCATTTTATTGTCGGGACTTTGATTTGGGATTATATGTAATTGTATGTGTGTATAACCATTTCATTTTGTTTCTAAAACAACATGTAAGGATACTGAGTTTGTTATAACTGCATAATAAATGACATATGCATCATGTCCATAAAAGTCCTTTGCAGAATCCTTTATTCTCTTGATTATTAGTTGTAAACTTCCAGTCACAAAAGGTTTTAAATGAGGCAAATATTCATTTGAGGTTTTTAAAATAAAAATTGGCAAGCAAAAAAGAAAATAATGAATAATTTATAAATAATTTATAATTTATAAAAATCTAATTTATAAATTAATTTATAAAAATCTAATTTGTTATACAAATGATATGTTTTATACAAAGAATATATTATTAGATATTTACAACATTATTAGAACTATTTTAATAATATATTACATATATTATTAGATAAATATTTTACAAAAATCAAAATTTGTATGCATGTATTGCATATAGTTACTATTAATAAATGTTCATTCTCATTCTAAAAAATAAAATATGGAAAGCTTTACTCCTATATGAAAAAATAAGGAGTGTACTATTTAATTTTAAATTTTGAGATAATTTTTTCAATAAGCAGATCTGATCTTTTAGCAAAGGATATGAATGATGGGAATCTATTTCAAAATAGTTCTGAAAATGAAAGAATCAATCAGGAAAAATACAAAATTCTACAAAATTAGAAACTGAAAAATGTTACATGCTAGTACATTAAAAGAAATATTATTGAATGAAATTGCAAAGAAAATCAACCTCGAATTATTTTTTAACTGACTGCTGAAGGGAAGAAGGGGGAGGAGGAAAGATGACTCTCTGAGAGTGAAAATAATAATAATAATAATAATATAATAATATATAATAATAAAATAATAATAAAAACACTCCATACTTTGAAATTAAATAATTAGGTCAAATTTAGTCATATAGTGATGCAGCTTTTTTTTCTTTTACATGTTCATGCAAGAATAACTAACTATTAACTGAACATCTGTATACTGGGGAACTGTATAAAATGATAGATTTTGTAATTTTTCTGCATTTATATTTTAAATTTTAAGTTGCTCTAACGTGAAACATTTAAAATTCATTTGTAACTGGAAGTGTGTGTCTGTGATCAATAGTTATGCAAATGAAAGCTGCATAAGGACTTTTTGGGATAAGTGTTGTATTTTATTATGATTTATTACTGCTTTTTAGTTTATATTGTTCAAGGTAAAAATGGTTTTCATTAATGTATGACTGTTATGAGTTTTAATATGTAAAGATATACAAAGAAAAAAGTTCTAAAAAAGATTTAAATGGCTTGGAAATTTATTTATCTGGTAAGAATAATTAAATTCTTAGAAATTAATTTTATATGAGTGTCAATCAAATGCTTTATAATGGAATTTAAGTCTATCTTTGTCAGAATATTATCTGATAAATAATATAATTTCCTCTGTTATTTAAACAATATATATTTAAAATAAAAAAATATATAACTGCAAATTCCCCTTAATTCCTGCTTTTACTTTAGGCCCTTCTCCCTTTCTATTCTAAATAACTTTTTTGTGATACTGAGTCATACCTGAAAACAAATTCTGCATTATGCCGTTTTAACTTTCTGCACCATGCATAAATCTTAGCCAATCAAATTAATGAAAAATCTTGCTAAAAATGCCATGGCAATCCAACTTTGTGCTCTCTTCTTTTGCCTACACTTGCTACCTAAGGGACGTCTCTTACTTGGCTGTTTCTGTTAAAAATGTAAGGCATCATCATCAAAATTGTGGGGTGCAGATTGTTTCCCCATTTTAATGTGCCATGAGAGTAGTCAACAAGAAGTAAAAATATGTTTGTATTATCTAGTAATTTTGTAATTCTTTAAAACTTCCGGTATCTTATACTATGTAATCAAAATTTCAGTAATCTTCTATTTTCAATCTACTCATGACTGCAGTTAATTACTAGTCACATTTATAACAGAGTCCTCACTAGTCAAGCACTCATCTAATATCAAATCTACTGTAGCAAACAAAATTATTTCATCACACACACATATATGTATTATTGGTCTAAGCAACAGAATATTTGGCATTATGTTCTGTAATCTGTTTAAAAGTGTAGAAAAATGAGGGAAGTACATTTTGCATGAAAATTTTTCTTTAAGTATGAGTTGTGAGGTTTTACGGTAATTTTTTTCAAAATTTCAGAGTAACTATACTTCGTGTTGTAATATAGATTTGTTTTAATTCATTTTTTAAGCCAATAAAGTATTTTACATTAAAGCAAATCTTCTGATTATCTCTGTTTATTTGTTTTTTAAGGATGTTATTTTGGACAGACTGGGATACCTCTGCTCCACGAATTGAGCGTGCATCCATGAGTGGTGAAGGTCGTTCAGTAATCTGCCGAGTAGATGATATAACAGATGGTGCATGGCCTAATGGATTGACACTAGATTATGTGGCATTGAGGGTCTACTGGATTGATGCAAGGTTATTTTTGCTTCATTAAATTGCTTTTTGCTCTGATTTGTAATGAATTGCAAAATAATGGACATATTAATTCAGAAGTCAAACAACAAAAATCAGCGTTATACCTACAAAATTTTCACAGGACTAGTTTCGATGGTTTTACCGAACCATCATCTTCAGCTGCAAAAACCGCAAATGAACAAGATAGGAAATAATGATTAGATAAGATAAGAAAGCCTGGACAAGAATAAGCAAGTGGCGCCATCTGTTGGCGAAACCAGAACTAAAACATAATTTCTCTAAAAGCCGAAGGCAAATTTGGATTGGAATTAGGATCGTTAACTAGAACAGAAAGATTTTTATGAATGTGAAATGCCTCTAGAAAATCCAGTTCTCCAATGGAAGATGTTTTTTTGAATAATTTTGGCAGCAGAAAAATTGAAAGTGTGATTTTCGGACCAACAATGTTGAGCAACAGAAGACTTCTGTGTTTCCTTTTTTCTAACATATGCCTCATGTTCTTTGACGCGAAATTTTAAGGCTCTCTTAGTTTGGCCAATGTAAATTAAACCACACTGGCAAGGAATCCTATAAATACCCCAGGAATTCATATCCGGAATGGGGTCCTTGAGTATAGAAGTTGGAATTTTATTGATGGGACAGTAAACAACCCGAAAGTTAAATTTCTGCAAAATACGTGCAACTTTATAGCTAATTGATGGAAAGAAGGGAATGACAACAGAATTTTTATAATCTCCTAAAATAAGAGTGTGGCTTTTAGTGTGTTGAGATGAGAATTTTTTTTTTAACTGCTTGATTAATAATGTTGGGTGAAAAGCCCCTGTCAATAGCTATTGCTTTTAAATAATTTAGTTCTTCATCAAGGGCTAGTTTGGAGGAGCAAACTTGAAGAGCACGGAAAACATAGGAATAAAATGAAGTTAACTTTTGTTTAGTCGGATGACATGATTTAAAGTGTGGTGGAAGGCAAACCGATGAAGGTTTACGGTAAACTGTAGTACTGAAGTTGGATGTGTTACGTGTGACCAGAATGTCGAGAAACGGAAGAGAATTGCAAGTCTCAAGTTCAAAAGTGAACTGAATAGCAGGATCAATAGAATTCATTGTTGAAAGAACTTTATTTAAATCATCTTTATTACCTTCAAACAGGGTAAAAGTATCGTCTACGTAGCGGAACCATGCCGGGAAGTTTAAAGTTTCAAACAATTTTGATTCATAATAATGCATGTAGATATCAGCCAGGATGGGACTGAGGGGGCTTCCCATGGCTAATCCCTCAGTTTGCTTGTAATATTTATTTTGGAAAACAAAATGTGTTTGTTTCAAACAGAGTTGAGTGAGAGAAATTAGCTCATCAATTTCGATGCAAGAGAAATGAAATTCGCGAAGTCTGGTTTCTAGACATCTTAATGCACCCTCCACTGGGACATTGGTGAATAATGATTTTACATCAAAAGAAACCATGAGTAAATTACTAGGAGAAATGTTTTTAACCTTTTTTACAAACTCTATTGAATTTTTTATGGTGTAAATGTTATTGTCTAATAGAGTGGAAAATCTAGAAACTAAATATTTAGCTAATGGATACGAGGCAGTACCTAAATTTGATACAATAGGGCGGAAAGGAATACCACTTTTATGAATTTTGGGAAGAGCATATAATCTGGCACAATTCGCAACAGATGGGATAAGCGAATGTTTTAAGTTGCTTGAAATGATTTGCGAAGATTTGATCGCAGTTTTATTTTTGGATAAGTCCGAAGGTGAAGGATCTTTAGGGATCGGATTATATGGTCCTTCGTTTAAGAGTTTATTGACACCATCGATGTAAGTGTTCTTATCCATGACGTCTATCTGGCCACCTTTGTCGGGCTTTGAAATGATAATATCCGGGTTAGAATGAAATTTCGCGCATTGTAGCTCTTTCTCTCGCAGTTAGATTTGGTTTCAAAGGTTTATTATTGAATTTCACATTATGAGCGATAAGATGCCTAATCATTTCTTTCTGTGAATCTGAAACTTTACTGAACTTGAAAGCTTTTTTCGATAGGAGCCAAAATCTTTGGAATCGAGGGTTTACAGGTTTGTGAGAAGTTAAAATTATATTTTAGAATTCTCTCTTGTTCTTCTGAAAGACTAACATTAGCATTAGAAATATTAACTATTGGCTTGATGTTTACAATGGGAAGATTTTTTGAACTACTTGAACTGGAAGACTGTAAAAGAAGTTTTTCGAATTTAACTGCAAGGGTGTTTTTATGACGGTTAACTGCATTCTCCATTCTAGACCAAGACTTTTGTTCATGGGCAGTGAATTTTGGATATGATTTAGCGAGTTCCAGATGAAGCTTATAGAGTTCATGTTCAATTTTGGACAATTGTTGACGTGTATCCCTTATCACGGACCGAAGTAAGGCAAGCTTGCAATTTAACAGAATTCTTGAAACGCTACTCGAAGGAATTTAGTTTGATTTTTGCATTTATGCCTTCATCCGTTAATCGTTTCACTAAATTACGCCTGAAACGGCAAAAATTCCTGAATCATCTTGACTTTTTACTTAAATGTAAATGTAAAAAATTTATCCCCAATTTTATTCAAATCAAATCTAATCAAAAACCTTCCACCACACTTTAAATCATGTCATCCGACTAAACAACGTTTTCCGTGCTCTTCAAGTTTGCTCCTCCAAACTAGCCCTTGATGAAGAACTAAATTATTTAAAAGCAATAGCTATTGACAGGGGCTTTTCACCCAACATTATTAATCAAGCAGTTAAAAAATTCTCATCTGAACACACTAAAAGCCACACTCTTATTTTAGGAGATTATAAAAATTCTGTTGTCATTCCCTTCTTTCCATCAATTAGCTATAAAGTTGCACATATTTTGCAGAAATTTAACTTTCAGGTTGTTTATTCTCCCATCAATAAAATTCCAACTTCTATACTCAAGGACCCCATTCCGGATATGAATTCCTGGGGTATTTATAGGATTCCTTGCCAGTGTGGTTTAATTTACATTGGCCAAACTAAGAGAGCCTTAAAATTTCGCGTCAAAGAACATGAGGCATATGTTAGAAAAAGGAAACACAGAAGTCTTCTGTTGCTCAACATTGTTGGTCCGAAAATCACACTTTCAATTTTTCTGCTGCCAAAATTATTCAAAAAACATCTTCCATTGGAGAACTGGATTTTCTAGAGGCATTTCACATTCATAAAAATCTTTCTGTTCTAGTTAACGATCCTAATTCCAATCCAAATTTGCCTTCGGCTTTTTAGAGAAATTATGTTTTAGTTCTGGTTTCGCCAACAGATGGCGCCACTCGCTTATTCTTGTCCAGGCTTTCTTATCTTATCTAATCATTAGATATTTCCTATCTTGTTCATTTGCGGTTTTTGCAGCTGAAGATGATGGTTCGGTAAAACCATCGAAACTAGTCCTGTGAAAATTTTGTAGGTATAACGCTGATTTTTGTTGTTTGACGTCTGAATTAGTATTTATTCGGCGTGTTATTGTGTCTTAATTAATGGACATATCTCACGATTGAGAATTAAATCTTTGAATCTGAAAATTGTGACTGTGCAGAATTTTCATTTCATATGTTTTGATAGATATCCAATATAATATTAGAAATTCTTTTAAATATGTAGTAAATATGCTTTTAGTGCTTGTAAGTCAAGAATTTGAGATGTAATATTTTTTTTCCCCCTCCATTCTGTAATTGATCTTTCTAGACTTCACTCACATAAGGAATAACAACTTCTGGATTAGTTAGTATCACTCTTCTTCTTCTTCTTTCTTTCTTTCTTTCTTTTTTTTTTTTTTTTTCTTTTTTTTTTTTTTTTTTTTTTTTTTTTTTTTTTGTGTGTGTGTGTAGATTTTTAATGTTTCATATGCTGGGCTACCTTTTGTAATATAGTACAAAAGTAAAAAATAATTAGACTTCAAAGCTAGATGTTATGTGATGTGTGATAGTAACTCATAATTTAGAAGTTTTTTGTATTACTATGTATAAATTTGGTGGTGTCGATTGGAACTAGTTAAAGAGCTTAGTGTGTAATCTCATCTTATTGGAATTCTTAATCATACCTATAAATACATATTGGCAGTTATTAAAACAAATTATTTGTTGGTTATATGTTGTCAGTAAATCATATATGTTTCATATAAAAGAAAGCTCTTTAGTTTTTTCTAACAACTAAAATGTTAAGCTCTGAAAGACAGGTCTATAGTTGTTATTGTAATCGCTGATATAATGAACTGCTTCAATGTTAGTATGATTATTGACACAAGGAATGCCTAATTGTTTTATCATGATTAAGATTTATATGCATAGATAAGTTTCAGAATAGCTCTCCAGCTCAGAATTTCTAAAGCTAAGTTTTTACTATACTAAAGCTATACTAAGTTTCTATACTAAATACTTTTTTACTATACTAAAGCTATACTAACTTTCTAAAGCTATACTAAGTTTATACTTTCTAAAGTTTAGTAAAATGGTATAGGTTTATGTAAATATTTGTAGATGTACATATAAGCTTGATTGTTGTGTTGGGTTGAAAACTGCTTTGTACTGTATATAAATAGCTAGCTCAAAATGATGCATGTTTTTAAGTTTGGTGATCTTAATAGCAGAAACTGAAACATATTTAAATAACTGTTAATACAGTAAATTGTATAAACTATATTATACAATTTACTGTATTAACAGTTATTTAAATATGCTTTGAGCTATTTGTTACTTCTTATTTGTTATGATTGTAATTTTAATGAGTTATTATTCTTACTTCTTTTATTTCTGCAGATCAGATTCAATTCATACAATTACATATGATGGTGATGATCATAGAGAAGTGCTGCGGAGCCATGAAAGTCTTTCCCATCCTTTTAGTATTGCATTATTCAGCAATTATGTCTATTGGACGGACTGGAGAACAAATTCTGTATTGAGAGTAAGTGTAGGCAATTAATAGATTATTTGAAAGTATCTCTGTCATAGTTTTACATGTATCCCGAGTAGCGCAAAAGCGTCGTAATGACATCGCAAACTCGTTGCGGATGTCGTTGCAAAAACAAATCAATATGTCGTCATTAAGACACCCAGATGTCTGCGAACATCCACTGTTTTGCAACCATTGCAAGAACGTCTTTATTACATCTTTGCAGATGAGGTTTTTGTCGCATAGATGTCATTATTGCGTCTTTCGCAGGTGATATTTTGGTTGTGAAAGCATCGTATCGCATCTTAAAGATGCCTAAATGTTTGCAAAATTCCACCTTTTTGCAACAGTTGTGAAAATGTTGTTATTGTGTCCTTGTGTTACATATTGATTTATGCAGAAAAATGAGCTTAATAATTAATATATTTTCCTTCTTTTTTAAAATTTTGTATTCCTTGTATTTATCTAAAGTTTAAATATTTTATAATTTCCTGAAAACCAGAAGATAATACAGCTTTTTCTCTTTAGACTAAATATGTATAATTAATAATAGCCTTAATTATTTTTAGTACTTTAAACTATAGTTTTTAAATTTCTCTTTAGACTAAATATGCATAATTAATAATAACCTTAATTATTTTCAGTAACTATATTTTAAAAATAACTTCGAATTTAAGCTATTTAAAAAGTTTATAACAATTAAGTTTTAAGTTTTTTTAAGTTATTTAAAGTTACGGTTATTTAAGATTTCATCATTTTTTTTCAGTGAGAGTAATTATAAAAGTGGTTAATATAAATATATAACATTAATAGTAGGTTTTAAGTAAATAAAACTCAATCAGGCATAAATAAAAGTAAAGATATATATGTGGTTAAAAAAAAAAAGAGCGTTTCTGATAACAACATTATCACATTTATTTCTCTTAAATCTCAGAGACATTGAAAATTGCCCCTATCATGATAAATTAGGAGGCAATTTTAAGGTACCTTAATCAGTATTTTACCCGAACTCAAGCATTAATTTAGTTGCGTTTTAAAGTCAAAAATATAACCATTAACTACTATATCTTCAAGATATGCAAATGAAACACTGTATAAAGTAGTTAATAAATGTGATCAAAAATATTTCATACAAAAATGTACCTAAAGCTAATACCCCCACCCCCCAAAAAAATTCCCTTATTCATATCTAAAATGAAATAATACCTAACAAACAACATACATGATAACACTATTTAAGAAAAAACATGAACTAGGAGTATTTGAAAGTGTAAATAGCAGAAGGAAGGTAACAGAACTAAAATTTCCAATTAATAAAAAATTATTTGTGTTTTTTAAATAGTAAGCAATTAAAAGTGCAATAATTATGGATTGCAGTATTTACTAGTAATATTGATGTTTCTTAACACCATTCATATCATATGATTTTCTTAACACCATTCAATCATATCATTAACATATGATTGAAAGAATGCCACACATTAGGCATTCTTTCAATCGTATGTTAATGTATTTACTTATTTTTAGTTTCTACATTTTAGAATAGTGATGAATTACAATGATTATTTCATGAACTTTTTATAATCAATAACTTTCCTTTTGTTACTGTACAGAAATAATTTAAATAATATAGTATATGTTAGTAAGCTAAGTATGTTAAATAGCACACGATGGAAAAATAAAACCCAATTTCCAACGTTCATTTATTGAGATAATCTAATAAACATACAATAAGGGCAATTTTTAAAAAAACGCAAATTCAGTGTTCGGAAGAATAGATACCAAATGAAAAGTAATAAAACTGCAATTTGCAATCAATAAAAAATATTCAGTGTTTTCTAATATTACACAATAAAATATCACATAATTATAGATTACAATATTTCATAGTAATGCTAATGTTTCCTTAACACTATTTTTTCGATCATACATTTCAAACACTTTAAAATCATTAACCTTTTCTGCATACTATAGAATGCGCAATATTATTAATTTTAATGTATTGGTTCTTGTTATTGCCTACTGTAATTCATCTTCAGCAGTCATATTAAGTACTGGTACCAGTCCAATACTTTTTTTGTATTTGAAACTAATGAGCATACCATAACAGCTTGAATTGTTCTTGCTTCTGCATTGATTGCATCTTCAGCAAAATCAGAAAATGCCTTAACTTTGTATGTTATTTTTGGTTTTATATGAATTAATTCTGAGCACCAACACAATAATCGATTAATATGAATGATATATGATATAGCACATAAGATGTTATAACCGAATCACTAGTCCGTGTATCCAAATATTGCACTGCTGGGGTCACTGAAGGATTGGAGAAAACCACCATATATTTTTAATCACTGGTAACACATAAAACATCAAAACATAACACTATTTCACAGTGTACGGATGATTTTAGCACGCTGCAACTGATATTTTCTTTAAACGATGCATCCAAAATTCAAATTTTTGGTGTCTAAATAGTCTTGTAGAGCAGATATTCACAAACAAAATAAGCAGAAATTCAGCACTAAATCGATGATTTCTCCTCAATTCAAAATAAACTGCCATGACTATATTCTTGTGCATTGTTCTTTTTCTGTATTGAAGCTCTCCAATATTTAATTACGACGATGAATTGCAAAACCGTGAAGAAAACACTCCTGAAAATAAGATGGAGTCTGAAATTTATTGCGCAGTTAACTAACGTGTTCGAATTTGGCTGCTAGCCAAAAGCGCACAAGCCTCGAGCTCAGATATTCATTTATATAATCATCCAGTAAATTAAACACATGGAATGTCAATCAGTTGAACAGCGTTTCACTGAAACTTTTCAGCGAGTTATACAATTGCATTAAACCTTTTGATGGTTCTTCTGATAATTTACTAGAATCTTTTTTAAATCACTTAGAAGAATTATTTCAACTGAATAGAATTACAAACAATGTTCACAAGGTTATACAGTCAAAAGTCGTTAATTTGGACACCCATAATCCGGAATGATCTATAATCCGGACCTCAAAGCTACAAACTTTCTGCGCATGCGCATGCGTCACAATTAATTTGAAGCTGATCTGTCAGCACTATCCTTATCTTCAGGGCAGATGTTTTCAACGCCACGGCGCGCAATGAATTGGAAGTTGATCTGTTCGCACTATCCTTATCTTCAGGGCATATGTTTTCATTTTATATGGCTTATAATTCCTTACTAAATGTAGTTTTTCATCTCAATGTATTCCGTCTTGGATATGATTTAAATCAAATTCCTCATCATTATAATTTGCTTCCAATAGTGAAGAAAGTGACACAGAGGTTATTGAAAACAAAAAAATTTCGATTGACAAATTATGACAAATTAGTCGGTATTCTCAACACAGCAATTATAGGACTTGAACAGTGGAACTTTGTAACTGAACAAGAAATTATGTCTGTTTATAGAATTAAAGAGAAAGTATTATCATATAAAACGTAGCAACTTAAACAACTTACATTGAAAGAAATGTTTAATAAAGTAAACAAATAAATATTTTTTTTGTAAATTTTGATACCCTTTAGATCATAATTGTTCTTTATTTCATAAATTACGGTATCATATTTTTAATTTTATAATTTCTGCATGCCATCTTACCAGATTTAAACTGATGAACTATAATCCGGAAAAATCGATAATCCGAAATCGCCGAAGTCCAGATGAGTCCGGATTAACGACTTTTGACTGTATTTACAAAAAATATTTATCGGGCTCATCATATTAATATATTAAATATTAAATAAAGCCATTGAAATAATTGCTAATATGTGATTTGTATTGATTTCGGAAGTATGATTTTTCTTAAATATATAAAATTCATAACTAAATAACTTACTTTATAGATTAGTTTCATTTTAAAATAATTTTGCTATAATATTTATAAATAAATATTTCAAGTATTAATTATTTTAACAAAATTTTAAAGAATAATTTATCGCATATTTTAGTACTAATTAAATTTAATAATTCAAAAGTATTTTTATTAATTTTATATTTCATTAGATGAATCTACCTTAGATTAGTATGTTTAGATGAAATAAAGTAATGAAACATTGCAAAGTAAATCTTATGCCTTCAGATTCTTGAAAGGGTAGATATAGTCTCTTTTCATTCTAAAAATAACGCTGATGAATTATGAAAAATTTGCTAAAACGACCACGTCTAAAAGCGGTCATATCATGACGTTTCAGCGATGTCGTCAAATTGCCAAGATGCAACAGCAAATATTTTGTATTGTTGCATCGTTGTAAAGACATCGTAAAAGTTACCACGACCACTTTGCAACATCATGTGCTACTTGGGATTATATTTAAAATACTTAATACAATAAATATATTGTGATGCATATTTTTGAGTGTATTGTATTTAATATAGATAAATTGGGTTCATTATTTTAAGTAATTTGATAGCTTTTGAATATTTAAGTACTGTATAAAATTGCATCTAAAGGTTTTTCATTGAGCCAATTTTTTAACAAGCTGAGTGCCATGCATATTTCTGAGGCAATTCCATTCAGGCCACGCATGCTGCTTAAAAGCGCTGGTATTTTAGGGCCAGTGATTCTTATCACAGTAGAAGATAGTTTAGCCACAAATTATAGTAGACTGCAACACACAAAAAGCAGCTGTTGACTTATCCAACCAAATGAATGCCTACAGCAATCTGTTACGTAGGACCATGAAATGGTATCGAAAACTAGCCTTCGAATTGTTACTAAATACTAGGATTGTAAATAGTTACATTCTGTACAAAGATATTATGAAGCAGAAAATTAGCATTACTGAATTGCGGAAAGAATTAGCACTACAAGTTGTAAAAAAAGAGGACATTCCATCGAACAGAAATGCAAGAATATCTAAAAAACAACAACATAAACTCCAAAGAAAACTGGGAAAAGCCTCTGAAGTACAGAAATATCGTAAATTATGTTCTGATAAAAATGCAACAGAAGCTGGTAGAGTAATGGCCAGGAAAAAGACTAAGAGAGTTGTCACATTTTGTAATAGCTGTAATGGAGAACCGTTTTTATATTTACTGTGTTTCAATGAAATCCATTAGTCCTGTAATGAATCAGAATTAAGTAAATTTTAAATAAATTTTCTGTAATTCCATAAAACAGTGTAAATTTTATAGTTGTATATCATGTTGCACGCTGTCAGCCAGCATCTGTCGACGCGACCTAAATGGAAAGTCTAGTGTCAGCCACAGATGGTTGACGTGGTGCTCAATGTGTTAAATAAAATTTCTGTTTTTTATTATGTTTTTAGTTGTTTCAATTAAAATTCACTTTTGCAATGTTTGTTACCTACTTATAAGCCTAGTTACCATGCTATTTTTAATGTATTGTAAATATGCTGATTGTTATATCTTCATAAAAACTGTTATTGATTCTTTAACATAAAAAGTATAATTGTTATTTTTAATGTATGTATTTGACAAAATTTAATAATGTCTTGTATTGCTGTTTTAAATCATTAAACATTGCATGATTATGAGGTTAGGAGCACAAAGTTTTATTAGTATTATTGTGAGCATAAGTTAAGTAAAGTTTAATAAGTAAGATTTTTGTTTTTAACTGTGGCTGAATAATCAAGCTTTGTTATGTTATCTCTCTCTTTTTTTTTTCACTTTAAATATTTAATTTGCGTTGAACTTTATTCTTCCTGTTTAAAAACTCTAATACATCAGAAAAAACTAGAAAATATTGCAATCATATTTATTAACCAAAAAGAATTAATTTGGTGTGATTTAATTTTTTGCCGTAATTAAAAACATTTTAAAAAACTTTTTAGAAGGCACTTTGTTGGGGGGCTTACTTAGCAGTCTAGGAAAAAACAAAAAATACTTTTTACTACTTCTTCTTGTATTTTGTAGGCCAACAAATGGAATGGTACAGATGTTCGAGTAGTACAACGTGCTATTACTCAACCTTTTGATATTATAATCTATCATCCTGCCCGACAACCTAGAGGTATGTTTTGAACCTAGAGGTTTTTTAAAGAGCTTTATATTTTTTAATTAATTGTTATTTACTTTATTTATTGCATCTGTGATATTAGAAATTTTCATTTGTTGAATTTTAGAAGTATTTTCTTAAATTAATTAAATGGGATGTACTGTGATGATGTATGTAGTTGTTTGATTTTTTGAACTTTCATTATGAATTTGAGAATACAGTTTTTTTTTTTTTTTTTTTTTTTTTACATAAAGAAATTACAAATACAGAAACTCTGAAATCATAGAAATGTTTTAGGCCTAGTTTATTTAAGAATGATTGAAATGTTTACATTAAAAGGAACAGGACAGATTACTTAGAAAAAATAATAGATTTAGAATTGATGGAAAATATAATTTGTATATTTTTTGTGGATTAATTTCATTAGTTGGTTTAAAAAACAATGCTTAAAATTAGAAGAGATGCATTGTAGTTGTCTTCTTATGAAAAAATGTGTTACTTGTAAATTAATTAGAAATAATTTGGTGAAATCTTAGAAGAATCAATAAAGCTAATATATTCAGTGTTACTAGTTCCATTATTTTATATTTATGTTAAATAAAAATAGTTCTGGTTTATATTATGGCAGTTTTTACTTTTATCATAGCATAGGCCAGTGGCTTCCAAAGGATCTAAAATATTTTTAAGTTTATTGTTTTAATGTAGATTTATTAGTTTATTATTTTTGTTAGTTTGTTTTAGGGTGTGGGCATTTTGCACCTTAAATAATGTGTTAATTGTTGTCTATGATCATATAACCAAAATAATTACACATATTCATTAATGCATTGTTATATGTATGAAGTAATTGTCTTTTATTTTAATCTTTATTCCATGCCATTAAAGCTGTAAATATTTTTAAACATTGTAATTTAAATAGGTGGCAAATTTATAAATCAATCTAATTCCAGTTACTTATGAAAGTAGTCTATTTACTTAAACTCAGAAATGAATAAAAATTTTTAGGAGAAAAATTTTGTAAGTCCTCTGCTTTCAAATAGTGGATTTGCTACTCGTTTAAATAAATAAATAAATAATAATAATAATAATAATAATAATAATAATAATAATAATAATAATAAAAAAAAAAGTCTCGACCAAAATGGGATGCTAAATCAAATATCACATGAAATCATAATGCAAAAATAACTTTTATCTTATAATTTTCCTTATTTATACTGAAGTATTCCAAGAGTAATCAAAAGTTATTCAGGAGTAATTTTATTGGTACTTGTTATTTTTGCATAGATTTTAACGAGCTTTGAGTCAGCAAAATCCATGCATAGGAAATGTCAAATATTTTATTGAGTACATGCGTAGTTGTTGTCTGATTATATTCTTTTATAACCTAAAAAGATTAAATTCTTTCTCATAAATCAAAATTAGTCTTAATGGAATTAGATGTTATTGCTGCATCTTAAATTATAACATTTAATCTCTCCATATTATACGTTATCTACGACTATCAGTTTTCTATGCTCCATCACCTAATATTTGATTTGGCATCCTAATTTCTTTATTTTATATTTATTATTAATAACAGTTGATTGCATGTGTATTCGTCCATCAATGTCCTGAACAGAACATTTTATGTTCTTAATAGGTATAGCAGGTATTAATTTACTTTGTAGTGAAATATGATGTAGATAATCTTTATAAAAATTTATATTCTGTTCATTATTTTTGATTTTTAACTTATTCATCATTTTCCTGTGAGGTCAAAAGATAGGATTAAAACCTGACCATCAAAAATGAAGCAAGAGATCACAACAGTGTTACATTACAGAATATTATGCTTATCCTTGTTTACATTAGATTATCTCAAATGGCATTATCTGCACGCATCAAAAAAATATAAAGCAACTTCCAGAGAGTCATTTGAATTGTTGAATTGTGATTGAATTGTGCAAATTTGCTGAATATTAGTAATAAGTTTACCCTGAAGTATTAATAAATGATTTCATCTGATATCTGACTAGAATTGTCTTCAGTATATAAAAATAAATCATTTAACTATTTTTCATTTCAAATATTTATTTAAAAAATTATGGCTGTTATCATATAGTTGATAATTCTTCCCCCCCCCTGAATGTAATAAAATGGAAGTTGAGGAAAAAAGCTTTCAGTTTAAATTAGAAACAAATCCTCATAATAATTAGCAAAATAATAAATTGCACTAAAAGTAGATTTATTTTTTAATTTATTCTGTTTTTAAGACATAACATATATTACTCTTAAATCTAAATTTTTTAATTGATCTGATTAAATTTTATCATACAATTTTTTCTAATATGTTAATATGCTGGAAGTGCAGTTATTTCTAAATTACAAAGCAATTACTGTTTTTATTTAATTTTGAAATACTTCTTTGTTATTTATTTTAATTATTCTGCACTTAAATACATTCTACGTTTAATATGTTTAAAACTTTCAAATAGAAAATACTTTATGATGGCTGTAATAGCAAAATCATTCATTAAATGAAAAATTCTATTTTTTAAATTCTTGTAATTTTGTAAATCAACTTAGAAGGAACTGTACAAAAAATAAAGTTTTGCAGATTTCTAAAATCAAGGAAATTCTGTGATATTCTTTTAATTATTGTAATCAGTTGCTATTTGTACTGGATTAGCTTTTCATTAGTACTTGGTTAATATGTCCACTTTTCTGTGCAATTATGGCTCACAAATGCTGAGCAAGAGATTTTACAAGTTGTCAAATATCTTCTATGCGTAATGAGTTACAGTATTAGGTAAATTAGAAAAGGATTATAATTAGACTTTTCAATTGTATACCAGAAGCAAATAATACTCCATAAGTGTTTTTAAAGAACTATTTGAACTAGCAAAATTTTCTAGTAACATTTAAGCAAATGAAAAGAAAGTGTCTATACAAAATATGGTTATGTCATAGTTTTAAAACAATAAAAATTTTAAGTCTTTGGAAATTTTAGCAATTTATGAAGTTTTAATTAACTATTTTCTAATGAATTTCAGGTAATGGGTCAAATCCATGTGAAAAAGATAATGGAGGCTGTTCTCATCTCTGCCTGTTAAGTTTCAACAACACCCGCACATGTGATTGTCCTCACTTAATGAGTTTGGCCTCTGACAAGAAAACATGTTATAGTAAGTATTATTATTATTAATGTGTTTTTAGCAAATGCATGCTTCCATTTTTTAATACTGAACATGCGTGGTGTAAAGTTTTGTTCTACTTGGTATTTTAATTATATAATATGTCTTAGTATAATTCTTATTTTTATCTCTGGCAATTGTAATTTACTTTAAAAATAAAATTTGATTAATTTGTATGAAATATTATTCTTTTAAATAATTGTATTGTAATATAGTACATCCTGGTTTCAAAACATGATTATGAGAAGTATAAATACAGGGTATCTGAAAATTCTGCAACGCTATTTAACAAGTTTGCAGTATGGCAATAAGATGTGGCATTTCTTTATGCTAACTCATATAGCTATAGATTTTAATAAAGAAGAATCAAAATTGAAGAGTGCATTTTATATCATTTAACTAAAATATGTGAGTATGAGCTGAAAAATAAAGCTTTATGAGGTTTTGAAAATAATCAGCATGAAAAATTATGAGGTTTATTTATATATATATATATATATATATTATTTAGCATTATTGTGCACACATGTAGATAAAAAAATTTCTGTCCTGATAAACTTCTAAAAGAAGTGGAGAAAATTTTAATAGTTTATTTTTCAATATGATTTCCTTGTATCTCAATGTACTTTTCATGCAGCTTAATGAGCAAGTTTGTCCTCAAAATTTTCCATAATTGCTCTCTTCATCTCATCATCATCAATAAATCTTTTTTTGTGTCAGATTTCAGCTTGAAGAGCAGATAATAGTCACGTTAAGCTAAATCTGGGCTGCAAGGCAGGTGGTCAAGTTACTACACCCACCTCAGTGTTTTTGAATTGCTGAAAGAAATAAAAATATTCATTTTGATCAGACTTTTTCATGTGAAGATGTTTATTTAGAATACATAAAACAATTGTTTTAGATAGATGCAGTCTTGCTGTTATCTCAGCATTATTTCCTTCTGAACACGTGCAGTATTTTCTGATATCAATGCTTCCAATAGTAAATCTTCGCAACAATAATATTTTATGGATTTTTGACTCAAAGTATTTTACCCCTTCTTTAATTGTAGAATAGGAAGGAGAGGAATCAGTATACACGATTCAAGCATTGTTTTATTTCTTTAGGATTTAGAACTTTTCATTAAAAAAAAAATAATAATCATAAATTAAAATCTGTTTTAAATATTTCAGAACTCTCTAGTTCATTTAGTAAATAAGTGATAAAGAATACGTGCAATTTCTGTAAAGAGACTTTTGTATTTATTCATTTATTATTTCCACTATATGTGTGTAAGATGAATTTATTACGAAGTAATTTTTTTTATATGTGTGGTTAGAACCTTTTGAATCTACTTACATATTTGCTTAAACCTGTCCCAGTTTATTTGATAATCTCTTTTTAAGTGTATATACAAAAACTGAAATACCTGTTGTTGCCCAGGTGGCAGGGGTTACCATAAAAAATATATCAGCAAATACTTTCACATAAAAGATGAATATTAAACTTATTTTGTAATTCATTGAAAGGTAAAAGCATTTTATTGGAACAGCAAACAGGCACATACTACTGAATATGCTTGAAACTTAAGGGGAAATAATAATAATAATAAAGAAAAACACTGGAGCTCATTAATGGGAATTTCAAATAAGAACTTTCTTTACTAACTGTAATATGCTGATTTGAACTCACCGTAATATCCTTATTTAATGATATTTAACAATATTTTATGAATTATAAAGCTGCCCAAGACCAATTAGGTAAAAATGCCTTAACATAGGTAGTTCAACTTGATGTTGTATCCTAGTCAACAGGCTGTGTGTATGGGCATTTTGCAGCTTTCTTGTGCATTTTAACCCGTTTTCGACGGCCACCTCTGTTACCCAAGAGTTCTCTTGGGACAGTGCGTTAACCGGATGCGTCGTCCTGTGGGGACGGGCAATTTACATTGCTAAGCCTAACTTTGGGAAAAATTCGTATAAATGAAATTTGTCATCCAATTTTTCCAATTTTGGGTACATTATGAGAAGAACATTCAGGTAATCATCAGAATTAATTTTAAGTCTTTATTATTATACTTTTCCTTAAAAATTTTATAAAATGCTCATTCTAGAATAATATAATTTTCCCCTTCAGCGCCAATTCTGGTACCGCATACGCTGTTAGCCAAGATTCTCCTCTGTTGTTAAGTATTTCTCAGCTAATACAAAGTCCTTAGATTTTTTGGAATCAATTTTTGGTCCTTAAAAGTCTTTAATTTTGGCCAAAATCACCAGAAGGTCCTTAATTTTAATCATCTGAAATTTCTGTCTGTTTTTATGACTGCCATTTTGAGTGTGAATTAGCATTTTGGAGGAATATTTTTGGCGATTCACTGATGTATCTTTTGAATGGGCTCATGGGTTATAATTTGTTTCTATTTCTAATATAAGAGTGATGGGATATTCGAGGTTCTATGCAAGAAGTGAAACATAAGCATAGCAAAATACGTCTTTTTCTAATAAAGAGCTCTTGAACAACTTTTCGGTTTTTGGGATGTGAGTTCTTTTATTAAACAGTTCTAAATTTGGCGACTTATCAACATTTTGGCGATTTTAATATCAGCTTCTATACAAAAATTTTTAATTCCGAGATCTGAGAATTTTCGATGATTTTTTATTTAAACATCATAACATTGATAAATTTCATTAAAATAATGGTAATGTATTGAAATTATATTTAACAAATAACATTAAAAAAACATTTTGATTTTTTCGCTGTCATATTATAAAGTTTCATTCTGGCAACTTATTATACAATATTTTGAATCTGAAAAATAAACAAGGTGTAATACTATAAAGCACAATGTACGAAACAGCTCTTAGCAAGAGCAAAATTAGCTATGTAATTAATTAAAAATGCCTTCTTTTTAATTTTTTCATAGTAAGAGTTTTTTTCATGTAATTGTCTCAGAGTATTTAAATTGTTAGAATATGCATCAGTTTTTCTCTATAAAATTAATTTTACACTTTTTCCCTCCCTTTTTTTTTCCAAACTATTTCTGGCCTTTTGCTGTTACTAAATTGGTAGGGATAAATTTTTTTTTTTTTAGGATTTTAGACATTGCAGCTTGGAAAGTTTAGAAGGATTTGAAGGCAAGATTTATAGAGCCATGATTCTAGAAAATTTGAGAAATATGTGACAAAGTGAAAAATGTCTCCATGGTATCAACACGTAATAGAAATTTTACAGAAAATTCGCAATGAATTTCTTACTTTTTGGAGAACGTCTGGAAGAACAATGAAAACATAATATTTGAATGTTTTACTTCTGATACTAGAATCTTAATATGTTTATCTTCCCTTTATTTCTCTACTTTTCACTAGAGACAAGCATGGAAAATATCAAAAATGCTTCTAATCTTATCACATGGGCAGGCATTATAGAAAGGAATTTTTTTTATTAATAAAGAAATTGAAAACTTACAATTTAAAAGATTAATTTAATATGTCTTAACGCACCATACTCATGGCTGGCACGAGGCATTTTCCCACTTGATGCAATCTCTGTGGATTCTAAATTCTGTTGCCTAGTGCCTTTCTGAATGCATCCAATGGCAGTTCTAAATTCTAAAAGTTTTGCCATTTATAGATTTTGTTGTTCGGTGTGTCATTCAATTCTAAAAATTCTGTAACTGGCGTTTATTATATATATTTCATATTTCTTCTGAATATTCATATTACTAAAGAAATAAAATTAGCCGCTTTTTCTGTACATTCTAAATGCATTTAGTGTTTTTTAGAATAACAGAAATCCTTAATTAAATCAAAAAATTCTAAAATGAAAAGGAAACATGTTGAAGAAAGAAACTAAATACAAGAAAATTATTCTGCAAAGATATGTGCAGTTATTATTATATAAATTATCCAATTATTTATGATTTACTATAATTTCCCATTTCTATTTCCTCATATGATAGAGTTACTGAGCCAACCCTCTGAGAGGCCAGTGTTTTCGCTCAGAAAGCACAAATTTTCCGAAACTACTATGAGAACAAATTATGTTTTTGATTATAATGTAAAAATTCTCTTGGTATTACATTCCTGGATTTGTGTACTTTTGATATATTACCTGAATTTCTTTGACATATCTTAATATTCACGTATATATACATTCTTGCAGATATCACAAAAAAAATTTCTAGTATATATACGGCCTTGCCGTTTAGAGGGTTAAATTAAAACTAAATTGTATAATCTTTGACCACTAGTCCACATTTTTAGTTTGAATTTGACTGTTCTTGTTTAATTACATCACCGTGAGCTGTAATCGGTTTTGTTAGCATCAGAACATGCCTTTATGTTTTAAGTTCTTTTTAAATAAGAGGCTTATTTAAACCTTTGTCTGATATTGCAGTTACTTTCAGACATATCAATAATATGCTTCATGTTTGTCGAGGGGTTTGAACTATTTAACTAATACCAGATCAAATAAACCCTCATAGGTACATTGTGGAGAGGTTGACAAGTTAGGAGATAAAGCACGCAGAAACTAGCAAGAGCATTGGTTTTTTCATATTGAGACAAATCTCTCATTGTTAGAAAAGATGCTTAAAGAGAAGGAAATCGATATAAAGTAGCCAAAATGTCTGGGAAGGCTTCATATTAAAATGATGGATAAATATTTTGTTGAGTGTTGTTGTTACAAAACATAAATGTTTTGTAGCTTTTAATGTATAGTTATCCTAATATCGTTTAAGAATCAATTCCATAAATTACATGTATTTTAAACTGTGAAATTTTATTAGATTTTGATCTTGATAGGGCTTTTTTTACAAATATTGTTAAAAAATAAAATTTAATAGTGGCCATGTAAATCCATAATGACTGAGGTTATTAACCTACCTAATTTAATTATTGATAACTAACTGCTTACGCTTAAAAATTTTCTCTTCATATTAAAGCAAGTTATTGCATTTCATTAATACTCACTGTGGTCAGGCCCACCAGTGGCCGAGCGGTAAAGACGCTGAA